ACGCTTTTAATGGATTAGCAAAATAACTCATTTGCAATCTAAAGTTTTATTAAACAAACCCTTTTAAAAGCGAAACCAAACAACATTTTGTGTTAAGAATTACTGTTTACAAAATAACCCTACCATAAATATTATTTTCTTCCTTCTGAGAAATTATTACTTTTTGATATAGCGTAAAAGTTGCTTAATTTGCCGATCCTTTACGGTTTGCGTGATTTATACATGCCGTATTCATTATTTTATCATGAAGATTTATTGTTATGTTGGCACGTAAATAACGTTTATTAATATAACATACCATGTATTAAGGAAAAACTAGTGGAAATACTTAGGTGATAATTTGTTTACTAATTGTGTATTAAACATTTGACTACCTTTCAACTTCAGTATGCACCATCAAATATTAAAAGCAGTTACCAGTTTTTCCGAAATTTTCTTTTAATGAAATACATTTAATTTTTCTTGTCACGATTACAAACGACTTCAGCTGCATTCCTACTTGATCGAAAAAACTATATCCCGATATATATTCACTAACAAAAGTACAACAGGGTAGTGAAATGAAGTTGGTGTATCTTTCTTCAGAAGTTAAAATTTTTTATCAAAACTCCAATGGAACAGTCAGACATAATTATTTATTCTAAATAAATTGCAAATTCTCACATCCAGTCGAAGCATTTGATGCTATTGCGATTTGAACTAATCAGATTACAAAAATACACACTTGACAGCCAATTAAAAAATTGTTACAGGTGACACAATGTCTTTTCGTCATCAGTTGAGCACACACATCCAAAAACAAGTTCACCAATCACCGATTCCTAAACTTTTTATCACACCCTGTGATTTCTAATCAATGGGGAGTAGGGGATCATAATGACCGTGTAATTATTGTCAACCACATTATAAATTCGAATTTATTTAATATCTTGTGTGACGGAAATAACACACTGAAAACCCATCTAAAGTGTTTTATGGGAGGGTATCGTTATTTCCTTATTTCTCCTTGTCCTGTATTTTGGATTTTCTCAGGTCTGTTGTAACTACGTCCCATATTCTTTGGTCCACTTCGTCCGGACTTCTATTTTATTGCGGAGGATGATTTACCTTCATTACGTTGCCGGGCTATTGGTAATAAGGCCATGTTTGAATAAACTCAGGGTTACGAGATGCTGCATTTGGTGATTGTCGACAGTTTTTTGGATCCTTGCAGAATGATGTTTGATTCCATTTTGTTGTCAATACACTTATCCGTTACCAGAAATTAAACGCTTACATTTTAATCCTTCCTTTCGCTGTTCAAGACGTTATTTCGTCCAGTAAAGACCCCTAGCCGCATACTACAGCCTGTATTGTTTGAGGTGGTTTTTAATTCCCACATAATTTGTTTTCTTTCTACATTAAAAACTTTGGAAATTTGCAAAGAGTTTGTTATGCGTAATTCAATATGATTCACTCTAAAACGTTCCATAGGCTATGAGGATGACCGTGATTTGGCCTAATCAAATAAACTGGTTCATTTCCGTTGAGTTCAAAACAAATACTGAAATTTCGGTCTTTGCATTCACATAAGATCTGACATTTTACTGATTTGGACCACTCAACATAACTGGTTATCCATTTCCTCTTTTAGAGCAAGAAATCACTAAGATAAATTACTTCAAAATTCTTTAACATTGGTGTCGACATTGTTAGTTTTACTAGGCACGCTTCACACTCGATCGCATATCCGTACAAGATCACAAGTGTGGTAGCCCTGCTATATATCCCTTGCAACTGCTCACCTACTTAGATAAAACGCTTTTCAGCCTATCGGCAAACTTCCAAATACAGATTCGAACACATTCTACCCTAAAATCTGATTTAATTGAGTTACTGTCATTTGATTATAAGTGTTGTGGAAAACGTGTCGTGAAACCCTATGCACTGGTGAGATCTTTATTCATGAGCCCGAAGTGATGTTGGGCACTGAACAATAAACTGTCAGTCCGTTCCCTGTTGAAGCACCATATTTAATTTTTTTTTCCACAACGTAATATTATTTTCGTGTCCTCGGATAATTTCTTCCTTCCATCCATACATCTCATCCTCATTATGACCGGATGGACACCCAAACTATTAAATGTTGGTGTTATTACCACAACAAGAACAGTAAACCTTCCAGAAATTGCTAGGAACACTGCACTTTTTCCAATCTCAAACATCCTGTCACAAAACACCTTTCAGGAAACCTCCCTATCGGTGCGCATTAAAAACATCCGCAGCCGATGGACGTAGTCGTTTGTTATACACCCTTCATGCGATGGTTAATTTTCTCTATTTCCTTCCTTCCACGAATACAAGTGACCGTTCATCGACTTTCGGAAAGTAAGTAGGATGCCAATTTCCACATATGCTTTAAAGTATGTTTAACTTTATTTGAATTTGCATAGGTACATTCACTTAATTTTCGTTGCTGAAGACATTTTGATGCCAATTATTGATATAGACCTGACACAACACAATCTGTTCATCAATCGAAACAAACAAAGGTCATTAGACAAAGTACTAAATTATCCATTTGTGGAAGTTCATTTTCCGACTGCATACTTAGTCACGGGAAAACATATCATCATTCTACACTTCCAAAAATCGCTGAACAAAAACCTTTCAAAACACCATCAAATCTACGACATGTAACAAGGAGTGGTACACACCACATTACGACTACAGGACCAAATGCTTATTCAAAAGCTCGTCAATAAGTTCCCGAAGGGCTAAAAAACGGGTTTGAGCACACGAGAGTCGTGTAAATTACCCTATACGTGATAATCTACTAGAACTGTAAACGCGATACTGACAATCCCCGAATTCATGTGAAAGCGATTGTCAAACAAAGACAACTTGGCTTTAAAGTTTATCTGTTTCTAAACGTTAAAACAATTCGATCAGTACAATAATTAAAGGAATTATAGCCACTAAGTGGAACACGCAAACATACAGACCAGTATTATGTGTTTTATCGAAACGAGTAAAAATTATGAGTCACACTAAATAATAGGATAATGATTTCCTTGGAATGGCAGGTTACATGCAGCAGGGATAGCCGACAGACACATCAGACCAGATTGACGTGGTGGGCACATAAACGACGATTTGATTGGTTAGCTATGTATAGAACCACGCTCACAGGACTAAGCCATGCCATACCGATACATTATTTTCACGTTCCCCATTTTCGACCTTCTTTAAGTGTCACATATTGAATGCGAATCTCAGTAATTATATGTTCAGTTTCGAAGATCATATGGTTATGAAAGAATCCCCTTAGTATCTATGTAGCGTTATTTTGATACCGAATCGCTCCGGAGGTTAGCAAAAGGATAATGAGAATCCTCCGGGTTTAACAGCAGCTGATCGAAAAATACATGTAGTGATTCCAGTGTTTTATTTGATTCTAAACTCGTTTGAAATGAAAATCTACCTGGATATTTCTTGAGCGGTAAACAAAGTGGGATTATGATAGTGAATAGAAATTAAGTAATAGAGATATTTTAACAGATTATTATAACAATACCCGGTGATTAGTAGTTTATCTTATTGAGAGTACAGTTATTTTGTGCTTAGAATAGTAATCAAATGGAACATAATTAATGTGTTACCGATATATTGAATTGATTTCAAAGTGCATCTGCATTATTGAGTCAACTGAAAGAACAGAAAGGTGGAGTTGAGGAATTCCTACTAATGCTTCAGCTATTTGTTACGTTTAATATGTTTTACATAGTTATGGGGAGATTTGTTCGACTTCTTCATTGCTTAGACATCATAAGATTTAGTAATACTAATAATACGTATGAACTATTATCTGAAATTCTCTTAATACATGAAAATACTGATACCTATGTGAGTTCCGGACAGACTACTGACTGTAACTCATTCAACACTATTACATCTTTGAGAGACGTTCTCTTAATCGTTTCAATTCAACTTCAGTTCTCCCAACCATTGGCGCAAATCATCTATATTGGTTAGCTTCAAGTATTCATTCGGAATCTGGGGAGACACATTAATACCTAGTGATGAAAGGTGTAATAAAGGAGTAATAACTTGAGTTACATGTCAGAGCAAACGAGATCCATGGCTAATGAAATAGATCAGAGGGTGGCACTTGCATCCGCATATTTGTAATACATAATGCAACGGAAATATTCAGTTACATCACAAGTAGAGTACATCCACAAGTGATACATATAAACATTTCATAGTGAATACAGAAATGATTGTAGACACTGCATGACCAAACCTTGTTAAGTACTGTATTTGACCTGAACAATAATAATAGATAAGTTTTATTATTACTAGTGATGGGGCCTAAATACAAATACTTAGTTATTAACCATGTTAAGTCTAAGTAAACATATAAAATGACTTGACAGTATACTAAGGAATACACATATCTACATGTACGTTATGAGGGAATTGCATCCAAGTTGCCTCTTCATCGAGAAAATGAAGTTTAGTTGATTAGGTAGCGATGTAAAGTACGATTCACAAGTGTATATAACAGGCATATTAACAGTCTGTTTATGTGTCAGTAAGTAGAGGGAGAAAGTGATTTGATATACGTTGCATTGTATTTAGCTAAAAATAAACAGTGACATACTATGTGTAAAAATAAAATCAAGTTATGTATGAAAGAAATTGGTCAATACCAATGGTTTCACGGATTCGATTAAATTGTGGAAAAGATGGATAATGACTAAAATTTTTTATAAACTGGGTCGATATTGCCATCAAACACTATAGGATTTAGACTGAAATGAAAACTCCTAGGTACTTCAAGGAGATACAAATCGTCCATTTTCAATCACTTGCACTGTTAGGAATTCTTCCGCACTACAGGCTTGGATGAATTCGAAGTTCACTTAACATAGTTTTACTTTTAACAGTAAGGAATTTTATTATATTAAAGCTTTCTTTCACTAGTTTCGGATTGCTTGAGCGCATTAATAGATAATCTTTTTAAAAATACAATGGCTCGACAAGGGAATGGCTCTTCTGAACAGCCGTTGGAATTAGCTCTCAAAATAATTAGTGGATCCCTTCACTAGCACCCGGGAAAACAAGTGGGACGGTACAAACCAAAATGTTTTACCATGTAGTGTCTCATCTAACTAGACTATATTTCGCTTTGTAGATAAAGTTAGAACATGAAATATTATTACACCCAAAATATTTTGGACCGAATCTAACAGAAACAGTGAAAACCAAGTTGTTTTCGGACGTCGAAGGAACGTGCTCTGGAAAGTAAGTCATTCTGTCTTCTTAGTTGATGTACAGGTATGGCTTTATCATCGCTGTTACGAATATAGAGCATATCGGTGCTGGTATGATACAGCCAAACAGAGGATTTGTGCAATACCGTATAGTATATCGTGCCATCGTCTACCGGCCGTTCAAGGGCGAGGTCGTAGATGCTATCGTTACCCAGGTTACTAAAGTTGGTGTGTTTGCGGAAGCTGGCCCTCTCACTATTTTTATTTCTAAATATGTATGTACCCACCAATTAATACATCTTCTAGTCTGTTCCTTCCAATATTAAATTTGAAGGTGCTGAGACCACTACCGACGGTCTCAACGAAGAAGATGAAGAAGAGGTATGTTTTAACATATAGTAGTATAGATTAAATTCGCCACCACTCTTCCCTTATATTGTACTCACTGCTGAGTTGTTGTGCGTTTGTCTTGTAGACCCAAACAGTACAGATTGAAGACCGTATTAGAATCCGCATAATTGGTCTCCGAGTTGACGCCAGTGATATCGTAAGTTTTGCTTATTTTAAAGATTTCATTCAGCGTAACGAACAAATTTAAGAAGAGTTTGAAATCGCTGTCTCACTTCTAGATCGGTTGACCCTTCACATTTCTGTTTTTCATTTAATTATTTTTGTTTCAACTCAACTTGGAATGATACATTTTTGTCAGGTTCTGCTCTATTTGTAACTGACTGACCGACCCAAGTTTTGTTGCCATCCTAAACATTTAGGCTGTAGAAAACATGCTGCTGTCTATTGTATGTTTCATGTTGTCGAAAGGAGTGCCTGTTTACCATTGATCAAAAATGATACCCGACAATGCTTCCGGTAACAATTTGTATTCAATGTTACAAGTATTCTTCAAAGTAATCAAGAGACCTCGCTTCATTTCGAACCACGCTTTGAGCAATCCTTCATTTATAGTCAGTTTACTGGTCTTTCAGGAAATATATTTTGGTGAGACTAATTTTTGGACGACCTTTGATCGACGGAAAAGTGACCTTGAGTGTACACCTACTAACTAGGAACAAATGAAGGTTATGAACGAATGTGAGAGATTAAAATTATGATTTACAGTTTATGTTTGAGGTTTGGAATTAGATTTAGGGTTCCCATCATGAACCGGCATCAGCTATAATGCTAAAACTTTATTTAGCCAAATGGATGAGTGAATTTCGTTCCACGGCCTGTTATCTTATACCTGATTAGATCGCCCATAAATTATAGTCCCGTCTTTATTTTATACTTATAAACCAATGTTTAGTTGCAGCAGTCAAATCCCGAACGAGCTCGAACACTACCAGTCAAGTCAGAGATAATGCGGACTGTCGTCTGATTTTACAGCCTCACGTGGTGTCCTGCAAGGCTGTCCACTTTCTCCATTTTTGTTCAACCTCGTCATAAACATACTGATAGAAATAACGCTCTCATTGACTGAATTCTCGGGTATTGATCTACCAGGAGGCCCCCAAATGCCCTGGTACGGCCGAGAGTGGGGAGAGTCCGCTCTCCCTCTCGAAATGCTCTCACATGGCCACGCGTATATAGCCTCTGCCAGGGAAGCCCTACTCGCTGCCTTCTCGTGGCAGGGGTGTTGTTTACGAAAATAAGAGGACGAAAAGCGAATGTCCGGCGCTTTAACCGGATCCCAAATCAATGGTGCACATGGGCTCCAGTATCCTGCGGGAACAAATGGCGTATGAACCAATCCTTGGTCACCGGCTACCATGGGACTGCATCTCCTCACGATGCTCCACTGCCTTGTGGGTTAGACGTTCAGGTCGAAGGCTCCGGGTGTGGCCCCCAAAGAAAACCACCTGCTTCGGTTTGGGCACCCGAGCAGTATCACAGCCCTCACACAAATCAACTGAGATTCGTGTGGCGCATATGTATTTGGTGCCTCCTTGTACCTATACCTGTTTTAAAATAAATAAATAAATAATAAATAAGATCTACCAGGAGGTCCACTTATCGACCTAGAATAAGCAGATGACATAGACCTGTTTGATGAAGACGCTGATAAAATGCAGTCTTTCGGTAGCACTGAGCAACAATACCAGGATATTTGGGATGCGTTTCTCCTCCTCTGAATGCAAAATGTTGTTTCAGAACTGGCCTGCGTCAACACCTGAACTAAGGATAGGAAGTGAAGTAGTCGGACGCATCGACAACTTCACTTATCTTGGAAGTCTAATCAACCCTAATGGGTTGGTTTCTGACGAAACATCTACACAGATTTAAAAAGTTGGTTCGGATTTTGACAACTTGACTCATCTATTGCTAAATCGAGATATCCGTTTATCAATTAAAGGACGAGTATATTGTGCAGCAGTTCGTTCTGTTTTACTTTACGGCTGTGAAATGTGGCCATCGAGAGAAGATACTCGTAAGTTACCAGTGTTTGATCACAGATGTCTTGGAAATATAGCTCACATCTGCTGGGATCATCGGGTAAGTAATAGTGAGGTTAGACGCAGTGTATTAGGGAATGATGGTAAATCAGTCGATGAGGTTGTGAATCTTCATCGACTGAGATGGTTGGTCAACGTATTACGCATACCCAACAACCGTTTACCACGACGCGCAATGCTGACTAGTGTTGGAGACGGATGGAGGAAAGTTAGGGACGGCAAAACAAAAGCGTGGCATCAATCTTTGAAGTCACTAACTTCTGGTCTGAGCCATGTTGACAAGTGCATACCAATTGGTTGGGGTCTGTACGACTATCGTAACGAGTGGTTGGAGACTAAATAAAATGGTTCAGAATCAATCTCAATGGCGTGGGTGTTGATTCCTCTCTTACGGTTATAACCCAGCTATTCCTATTGCTTAGTATTTTTTCGGACACAGATTTCACTCGACACGTCCCCAAATCAGGACACGGTTGAATAGAAAAGAGATTGTATTCCAAATAACAAGGTTAAATGGAAGTAAGAAGCGCAATAGAAAAACCGTTAGTATATTTATAGTTTTTTACATGAGAGTATTTTTAGTATTCTCCAAGTATCGACTAGCGCTGATTGGACAAGGATTAGCCAATCAGCGTGCGCCAAAGCAATCGTGCATTGAGCATGCCTTAATCCAATCTATGTCGCGCTAACAGTTGGTGTATACACTCTTTGTTTTTCCTTGAACCGTGGAATTAAAATTACTTGATACTACTATTATTCCAAATCCTTTGGTATTCTTCTTGTTAATTTCATCTTTCCCTGTTGACATGCCACAAGACCCTCGGTGGATGCACATTTGTGCCTGACTATGTTTATTATAAGAAACTGACCTCTGTGGTAATCTAAGTCGTAAGATGTAAGATAATCCCATATATTTCTTCGTTTGCCTGCTTCGGTTTAGGCACCCGGATAATATTTCAGCCCTCAGACAAATCGAATGATTTATGTAGCAAATATATATTTAGTGCCTCCTTGTATCATTGTTTATGTGTTTAAATAAATAAATATATAATTCGCTTAAGGACAACTGAATGTATTCACTTATTATCATTTTAGTCTTTCACATCATAGTTCTAAATTTCGCCTTGCATGCCTTTGTAAAAATGAATACTATTTTTTCTCTGTAAGTTAACATTATTATTGCTTTGTGGTCAGAAATTCTCTTTTTTCAACCAATATTACGATTTTGTAGTTTAAAGTTGTTCTTTTATTCATACAAGTTAGTTGTTTGTAAAGACTTACTAAGTTACACACGCTTGTCTATGCACTACGATATTCCTAACCTGGGTTTTGAATTTTTTTTCATAGTTCGCCGTTGGCACACTAATGGATGATTATCTTGGTGAGTTAAGTCTAATTATGTATGTAAGAATATCATTCTGATCATTTTTATATTGTTTCAGTAGAAAATTGAGAAGCAAATGTTTTATATGTGTAGCATCAATCTAAAAGCAGCTCTCAGTCACTGGTTTGATTGTCAGAGGTTTGAGTCACTGGTTCAAATATTTCTCCCATTTACCTATATCTTACCAAGTATTTGTCAAACAAATATAAACAATATCAATTATTTTATGTTAGATTTCGATTTTTTCTGCAAGTTCTTTAGTCTTACTATGCAAAACCTTGCAAATATGTCACACAGTAGTGTGACCTCTAAAGAGGTTAGAATAAATTCAAAGGCTACTTAATACATGCTACTTACGCTAGTCTTTGTGTTTCGAGTGATAATATTTGAGGATGCATAGTTAACATTCATAAACATCCTACCAAATGTAAATAGTGTTTCTATATCATTAGATGGTCAATTCTGTCAAAAATTTCAAGTGATATATTTTATTTCGTCACATTAAAACTATATCAATAAGTAGCCTTAATTATGCATATCTCTGACTCGTTTGTCTGTAACCATCCATACATAAAACAGTCTCATTTGTCAGCGAGGTTTTATTTACTCGTTTGTCCTGGTATTTGAAATTTTTGTGTAGTGAACGGTTCAGGGTTTTTTGAATACACTTGTTCTTTTACATCGTTCTCCATTTTGATGTCTTGCAAATTCTTTAGTGCATAATAAAATCTTACCGTGTGTCTAAACGTTTTTTATGTTGGGTTCAGGGATATGGGGAAGTCCTTTTGATAAGCCAATTATTCATTTTTCTCACGAAATTCAGCTCACTTTAGTTACTTTACACGTGATTGGTGTCAGTAGATAACACAACAGTTACTCTCCAGTCTGCATCATCCCGAAATATGTTTGTTCTGATTAAGTACCGTGCAACTAAGGTATTTTTAATATGGAAAATATGACGTAATGTTTATATTTCCATCATCCTCTCAGTAAATATCAAAAAATGTCTCTGATCAGTTAGTATAATATTTTGAGTAAGCTCACTTCATTTCATTTCAACTAACATACAACAGAATCACGCTTCAAAACTACATAGAAATAAACAAGAAATTTCGTTTTAAATACATTGCCTTTCGTAAAGAACACCCCCGCCATGAGAAGGCAGTGAGTAGAACTTCTCTGGCAGACGCTATATACGCGGGACCATGTGAGAGCATTTCGAGAGGGAGAGCGGACTCTCCTCACTTTCAGCCGTACCAGGGCATTTAGGGGCAAAGCGAATGACCGGCGCTTTAACCGGATCCCAAATCAATGGTGCACATGAGCTCCAGTATCCTAAAGGAACAAATGGCGTGTGAACCAATCATTGGTCACCGGCTCCCATGGGACTGCATCTCCTTACGATGCTCCACTGCCTTGTGGATCAGACGCTCAGGTCGAAGGCTCCGGGTGTGGCCCCCTAAGAAAACCACCTGCTTCGGCTTGGGAGTCCGGGCAGTATCACAGCCCACACACATATCAAATGAGATTTGTGTGGCGCATATGTATTTGGTGCCTCCTTGTACCAATATCTGTGTTAAAATAAATAACAAATAAAAATATATTACTATGACTTATGGGATTCGAATATGTCGATAAACAATATTTCCCGATTCATGTATTAGGAATAAATTTTTATGTTAGTAGGTTACCTTTATTCAAATCACGTGTAAAGGTTAAGTTATGTCTCTTTGATTGATTTTACTCATTAAAATGGATTAGACGAAGTTCGTATTCTAATGGTTGGATGAAACCTTTTATACGGAAGTAAATTTGATTGTCTTGATTATAATTAATTGCTCAAGGTTTATTTTAATGTTACTTTTATATCACTAATTATTCCTCCGAATATTATTTTTAATTCTATTTTTTTTTTCAATCGTTTATTAGGTCCATGCACCTAGTTTCTAAACTTTTGAATTTTAGTAAATTTGTTCAGACTATCGTCTTCCAGTGAAATCGTTTCGAAGATAACTGCTTTTGTACAAATATGGCAATCGATTCTACTGTAAATATATACTTTTGTATAAATATAAATATTTGTTAGTGATTATTGGTACTCCCTTATTTCCGAAATATATCAGGGAAACAGAAATATCAGCAGAAATGCTGCTTTTCTTAGCAACAAGGGAAGGGAAAGTGATCAAAAGTATATTGTTTATTCCAGAAAATTTAGGATGATCTCTGTGAGTTACTTTTCACGTCCCTCTGCTTAACGATACACCGATTCGCATACAATCAAGTGTTGTTCTAAAGTTGTCTTGACATTAAAGATGAGTTCTGTGCTTGTACTAATCCTCTGCATCAATCTGCAACTCGAATGTATTCGTTGTCTGTAATTTAGCAAGCGATTCGGCCATTTCGTAATATATTTTCGTTACTAAGAATTGAACTTGTATCTATCTGTCATTTTCAGAACAGTGTTTTGAGCCGAATAATATGACTTCATTTTATTTCATTAGGTTATCAATAGCTGCTTTTAATATGTATTGTTTTAAAATAGAATTACAGAAAGCTTTAGAATGGTAGTATAAACACGTATCACTGTGGTTTAGCAAAGATTAAAACAAAGATGGACGACTGAGTGAAATGTGTTATTATGCATCATAGTAGTACGCATGGACAAATGATATTGATACTATCAAGGGACATAGGGCTAAAAATGAGCGGTTATAACGTCACTAATAGAGGAAAATGAGGAAGGCTCACTGGGTTATCAACTTGAATCGAGTCTAAAAATGGTTCGACAAAGTAATCAAATGACAGACAGAGAATACGCTGCTCAAATATGTCATGTTACCAGGGCAAAGAACGAATGACGACTGTTTCATTTGAAACAAGTTGGGTTTCTTGAGTAACGAAATCCCCGTCGCCAATTGTTATATCTGGTGACCGACTATTATGGCTGCGTCACTAATTGTTATATCTGGTTGTCGCTGATTGTTATTTCGGAATCGCTTATCATTTATACTCGAAAAGGAGGAACCACTGCAATTCCCATGGCGCGAAAGTAAGAACACAAAGACTGGTACAAGCAAAGGTTTATTAACCCCAAAAACACAACGATCCTAGTTGAAAATAAACTCCTTTATATATTGGTTTGTACCCCCATTTTTGATTAATAATTAGCATGTAATCACATATATGGAAAATACTTACAGTTATAACAGATCATATGCTGATCATAGTTCATGTCAATCGAATACAAGAATATCGTATATTATACAAAATAAAATGCCATACGGGAAAACAAAACTAATACTACATTGAGTAATCAGTACACTGAATTAAAACGAAATTATTGTTGAATAAAAATAATAATGAGTATACCAATCCAATTTTGACTGCTTTCCTGTCATATCAGTTCCAGTTGTTTGGTAGCAAGAGCTTCGGTAGATTTTAGAAAACGAGACTTCGTTAACCACCTTTAAAGATCTCATGGTATCCTCCTGTTGTTCCATTTCCAAGTGATGTTTTGAAATATCACTACTGAACGTGCTGAGCACTGTGAAAGATTTAATTTTTAATGAAACGAATGTGTCAAACCGGAAATGTTACACCAACTTTCGTGAATTAGCTTATTTTGTTGACCAACTAGAATACGTATTTCTATGAATAGTGTTACACTTAGATTGTGAGGACTGATCTCAATTCCTCAAATACACGATCGTCATTCATTTTCTAGTCAGACTCACTGAGCATGTTAAAAGTGAATAGATGAATGTGATTCAAGTTAAGAATGAGTTCAGATTTTGTTTTTATTAATTATTTTGAATGGTTCATTAATAGTCTTTGAACATTTTGCTGTAGTATCTAAATACTTTCTATTTGAAAAAGATCGTGGATGCGCACTGCTGAGGAGTCCCACAATGGGACGAAACGGCCGTCCAGTGCTCCCAGGTTTTCCATGGTGGTCTAGCTTCAATTGACTCATAATCTCAACTATAATAAAAAGTCTACAAAACCCCTTCTAAAAAAAATAATCATTTTTACAAATATTCAAACTACTATCATTGTAGAAGTAGTTCATAAATTTCAAAAGATATTTATGCATCGTTTTAATGTATGTTGTGCTGAAACGCAAAAAATTAAGCATCCGGTTTAATACAAAATAATATTCAAGTAACTATACACTGAATAATAAAATTTGCTACTTGTTAAAGCTTAATTATTTGTCAGAATGTACCATTATAATATGGGACTGTTATATACTAACGAAGAATAAATGAAAACTTCTAGTAATTACTTATGAACTACTACTGCATATATTCCTATTAAATAACTGTTAAATTACTGCATTATATGTATATTCATATTCCTTTTATTATGAGTTTCCATTTGACCTTTTAACTACTATTGTACGTTTTACTATTCTTAAGTTATTCCCAACTTATTAGTTACACTGACACTCACAGCCACTTTTGGCCTGGTCTTGGGTAATTGTTATTTTCTGTTTTATGGCATGATGCGGTGTGATTTGCTTGTAAATAAACTGAGTATGTCTGAAGTCGGTGATTTATTAACGATTTAGGCACATGATAATTAACAGGACATAAGAAAATAACAGGAACAGCAATTGATTAACTCATAATGAAATCCCACACATGCCACACGTATTGTGTGAGTGATGTCACTATGTTTATTTAACCACCTACGGATAAATGTATAGTTTCGGCTAATAAGTATGCAAAAAATAACTGAATTTAAGTAATTCTGCCATGTTTTAGCCTATTATATAATAAATTGACCAAGCTATATTGAAGCAGAAATATTACGCTTCCAAACAATGTAGATTAATTGTAAATACTTTTCAAAAAATTTATTGTAATTGAAGAAAAAAATCACTTAAATATGACCTCTTATTTACATTTTCGAGATTATGTAAAATGATGCTCAATATATATAGTATGAAATCTTAATTACCCGAAATTTCAAATTTTCGAATAGGATCAAAAAACACAAGATATAGGATAGATATTAGTTAAATGTTTTGAAAAGAAAAAAGTTTATATTTCTATCAATCCACGTTATGATATTAAAATAATTGTTTATAATTATGCTAAGGTTTTTAGTATCAAAGTTTATCCAGACTAGTTAAACATAAGAAACTACATTGTAATGTCAATAGATCTTTCTTTACATTTCAACTATGAGATTAGTTTTCTTTTGTCGATTCGCTTATATAGAATAAGATATTTTGGTCATTAAGTGAGCACTCTATTCAAAAAAGGTTCAATAAAATCCCTCTGTATATTTAAAGAAGACTGTAGTAGATTCTTAATGATGTAATTAACGGAATACCTTGTGAATATGGATCATTCAACTTAAATCAAGTCATCATTCAAAATCACCTACAAGATGAACTGAAGACTATCAAATGTAGCGAACTTTTGTTTTTTGGTTTCCTAATCTCCATCTGTATACCAAGAGGAATGAGAACCACGCGTTGAAAGTAATTTAATTCCGCGAAACCACCCGTTCTTTATCTTATATCTTGTTAACGTTTCACATTTGATTTGTTTCTGTTATCCTAACTTTTTTGATTACACTTTGCTTGTAAAATTGACCTTATCTTATTACGAAACTTCGATTTCACAATTAGTAATATCTAAGCTCTGTGACATTCTCAATGAATATTCAATCTTTTAACTATTACACTTTCAGTATCTAATACGATTAGAATTTCGTTACTATTTCTATTTTGTACCTCTGTCATAGTGTTCGCTATATTATTGTTACTATCAAAGCGAATACTGTTGGTTATCAATAATAATATTATTATTGTGAAAAGCAGTACATAATTGTGCTGTGAGACTATATTTTATGGACGAACCAATCAGGTATAAGATAACAGGTCGTGCATTTTGGCACGAAATTCATTCATCCATTTGGCTAGATAGAAATTTGGCATTATAGCTCATGTCAATTCGTGATGAAAACCATAAATCTAATTCCTAACCTTAACCATTAACTGTAAATCATAATTCTAATCCCTCACACTGGTTCATAACTTTCATTTGATCCTAATTATTAAGTGAATATTCTCGAGGTCATTTTGGCGTCGCTAAAAGGTCGTCCATAAATTATTGTCTCACCTAATTGTGCTATTCAACTAAGAGTTTTCTGTAAACTAATTGAAAATATTAAACATCTGTTTGTTTATTCATAAAAGTTTGGACTAGTAACTTTGACTAATCATTTAGCAATCAAAACTGTGTTTTTTTTGAAGACAGTAGCCATGCAATAACAAGTGTTCGATATGATTCTACAGTTATAGTTACCTACAGGAACAAAAATATATGATTGTGACTTTTTACCGTTGAATTATGGTTGAAGCATAGCATAGTATACTAACTAGAAAACTACATTGTTTCAATTGTCTTATGACTTACATTGGGTTTACAACCCATGCCAAACACTTTAAAATGATTAAAAATCAATCAAGTGTTTCTTAATGCTTAAGAACCTAAAAACCATCTTACAGTCAATTATAACTGAAATTAATAAGTGATTTAATTTCAATATCAGGATGGTCAACTACATGCCACTGTATTTGAATAAAAAATAGGCATAACATACAACATTCATTAAATACATTACTAAGTTTTATCAGAAGCGGTTTTGTGGAGACTGTAATAATTTAAATAGTTGAAATCATGAGTCAAATGAAGCTAGACCACCATGGAAAACCTGGAAGCACTGGGCGGCCGTTTCGTCCTATTGTGGGACTCCTCAACAGTGAGCATCTACGACCCTGCCTCTCGAGGATAGACATTAGCACCTTTGGATACCGGTTCAGTGGTCTAGTGGCTAAGCGCTCTCGCGCGAGAACAGTAGGTTTTGGGTTTGAATCCCGCGAGGCGGGGTCGTGGATGCGCACTGTTGAGGAGTCCAACAATAAGACGAAATGGCCGCCCAGTGCTTCCAGGTTTTCCATGGTGGTCTAGCTTTAATCGACTCACAATCTCAACTAATTTTTAGTTTTAATTGTATTTTATTATCCAAGATCCATTTTATACTATTAAATGAAACTGTTATTAATTATTAAATTAATAAGTAAACATCTTGTCAGATTTATTGACATCAAGTAACCGTGAATTTGTTAAAGTATCAATCATCGACGAATTCTGAGTTTTTTTTCATAGGCAAACAGGTCTTAATTAATTATGTCA